GGCCATGGATATGGACAGCCTTGGAGCTCATAGTAGCAACCATATGCCTAATCTGGAATGCATTAAAGGATATAAAAAATTTTGATTTGTTGATTGATAACATTTCTTTGATAAATGATGTTAAACCAAGTGAAACTACTAGTACTCTTATGCATACATCATCAGTATTAATAACCATTTATTATATGCTAAAAAGTAAAGGCTTGTGTAACATTTTTATTGATCACTTAAAAGGAGTTATCTGTATTAGGCCTTTACATATGAATCTAGTATTCTCTGCTCACTACTTGAACACAGTCACTGTACTTTAATGCCATTATGTAAAGTATATGGGTTAGATAACTGTAACATGTTATCCTGACAGTTCAGCCTGCCAGTAGTGGGAGAAACTGCATGTTTGAATAGAAAAATATAAAAAGGTATGTACTCTCCAGCGCCTCAGGATATGCACAGCCAAAAGGGAAGCCAAGGTTACCAGGACAGCGACAACCAAAGGAAATGCTCCAGGGGTGCAGCCCTCCTCAGACAGGGAAATCAGCCACTAGATAGAGAATAAACAGGTGGAGCACACACCTAGTGCATTATCCACAGCTTGGTTGTGCTGAATGGAAAGTAAGAGCTTCGCTGTTGATGCCTCAACAGCAAAGCTCTTACTTTCCATTCATCATGCATCAGAGGTTGGTCATCAGCTCTGAGGAAAGGGATTTGTCCCCGAAACGTGTCAGCCATTTGACCGCACTGACAATGAGAACACCTTGCCTGCCGTTGTGGCCATTGTCATTTTTCTATGCTTTTTAGACACATGCTTTGTATGTTTTTATTATTTCACTCCTACAATAAACCTTGTATAATGCACTAGGTGTGTGCGCCACCTGTTTTCTCTCTATCTAGGAAAAATATAAAGCAATACGCTGATAATACACAAAAATCACATTGAAAATGATTTTTAGTCTCAGTAATGAAGTTGTTAACTACACTTTCTGTATGCTTGCTCGGGCTTCACTTTAAAGGTTTACAGAAATGTATATTTCAGCACAACCAAACTGTGCATTTCTAACTCAGCACTGCATATATTGCACAGAAATCGTTTGGTGCTGTAATAGACAAAAAGCTAAGCACACTGCCAGCTAATTTAAAATGAAAAAAAGTACTTAAAACGGAACTAAAATCCACAATACTTACCTCCACTTCAACAGTCTGGTCTCCTCCCCGGCTTCTTCCGGGTGCCAGTCTTTGGTCATATTGATTGACTGGTGTGAGATGTCACTTCTTCACATGTGCAAGAGTGACGCCATCCCAGCAGATGCCAGAATGTACAGTGAGCTGTGTATGCAGAGTTCAGTACACAATCTACCGAAGACTGTCAATAGGCAGGTAGGTTTGTTTTATTGCATGTCTTCTCTGCAACAAACAGCTTACCTGCTAGCAGTTTGAGGTGATTTTAGCTTTGCACTTGTGACTGAGTACTGTCTGTGTGCTCACAGGTTATTTTTTAAACCTTAGTTCCACTTTAAAATGACCTCATTTCATAAGCCAAATGCATGGCAAACATGGGTTGAATTCTGGACAAATTTTCTTTAGAAATTCAAAAAATTTTGTGTGTTGTAATCCAATGGGGCCACCATTAATTTTGAAATTTGACCAACCAAGCCTTCAATTTCACATTGCTACAGAAAAGAATTTGTGGCTAAGAATTTTTTTCTTTCCAGGTCACAGCTCATGCTCATTTCTTCAATTACATTTCTCCCAGCATCGATTAGAATTTATTTCATTTTTCAAAAAAATTTCCAACAAGCCTGATCACTCAAATTCAATGGTTGCTCGAAAACCGTCTGTTGCTGTGGCCCACTAATGCTGCAAAATTCAAATGAAAAATTCTCAGAAAAGATTTTCCAAAGAAAATTCTTTCAGAATTCAATCCATGTATGGCCAGTTTAAGACCCTTTTCACATGAAAGGTCCTATCAGATCAATCTGTCAGTTTTACAGGTGGACTTGATCAGATCCTCCATTCCCCCCTATGCACAGGCAGGTGTAAATGTGCTTGTATCCATTTACACCTGCCTACTTCCAATCCGATCCACTAAACCCCCCCAAAAAAAAACAAGGGGCTCCATTACCCTCTATCTAGGTTGATTGGATTAGAGGGGAGTCAGGTGTAAAAGGACAGTGGAGCCTGTTTACACCTGCCAATCCGTAGTCAGAGCAGCCTTGGTCCGTGTCCGCTCTCCATAAACTGAGCGGCACGGACCTGCCATCCACCCGCTTTTACTGTGATCAGCAGGAGATCCTCTGCTGATTAAATTGGAGGCTACCCCATGTGAAAGGGGCCAAATAATAAGTTCCAATAAAAGGAAAAAAAAACAAAAACCAGTGCAAAACACCACCTTAAGGGCTCTCTCAGATGGGATGTACCTGTTTAGCAGATCCGCTTGCTCAATGGGGGATATTTACGCTGATCCCCGTTGAGCAAGCGGATGACAGCTCTGTGTTCCCTCCGCTACTACAGAGCTGCTTACTCTCCTCAATGGGCGGTCAGATGAAAACTGCCTGCCTGTCCGTTTTCATCTGATGGACGGAAGGGGAATAGGATCCCCATCCATCCATTTTTGGCAGATCAGATGTTGGCGGGTATAAACGGACACGTCCGTTTACACCCGCCACTCCATAGAGGTTCCGATGGGGCCCGCCTCAAACGAGCAGGCGGATCCAATCGGAATGTTCGTGTGAAAGAGCCCAAAACAGACAGCACTGCCATAAAATATAATAACGTGAGATTATATGCTTCAGGCATATGCCTGCTTTTTAAACCCCAGTCCACTGGCTGCAACAGTCACATCATGAGTGCTGTCTCAAGGGGTCCCAATTTATAAGGCTGAATATAGGCGGTGGAAATCAGCACTCTCTAATGAAAGTAGTGAGTGTCGGATCAGAGGTCTTGATCTAGCAATTATGTGCCTTAGGTAGATCATTTCCATATTCTTTATAAAGATTCTCAGCCTGGTCTTGTAGGTAGGTGCTCTCTGTACAAGTGATAATTGTGACAGAAACTGGAGAACTATTTAAGAAAACCATCCACCAATCAGAGTGAAGTAAAATGAGCCCATCCCCGCATTACATCATGGGGAGGGGCCAGGCTCATTTTACTTCACTCTGATTGGTGAATGATTTTCTTAAATAGTTCTCCAGTTTGTGTCACAATTTGTCACATACCTGATGAAGGGGTCCTGCGAGACTCTGAAACGTTGCCTTGCTGTAACTATGTGATCGTTCATTAAAACTTTGGGACCCATATTGGTGATCCTCGGTGTGCTGGTGACATCCTCCTTTACTCCTGCTGTCTGCCTCCTAGAGAGAGGGTTAGAGTGCCCTTACAGCGCTATTAAACTCCAAACCAAAATGTAATATATTGCATGCAGCTCACTAACGTGGTTTTATTAACTTTCTTGATTTAGGCTTTTTTTCCCCCTGTTTTCATCTGGTGATCTGACCAGTAACACACCTCCTGTATGAGAGTGCCTCCACTCTGGCTGAAGGAGCACAGTAGGGAAACACTTGGAATACAACATTGTGAGTCTGGGGGGGGGGGGGGGGGGGGGGGGGGGGTTAATGCATCTAAATCTGTCAGTACAAATGACAAATTAAAGCCAAACTCCACTTCAAAAGCAACAATTGTTTTTCCTTTTGGGATAAAGGTTTTACATTAATAAAAGCTGATCTTTGTAAGTACCTCTGTTAGCGGTTAATGGTTTGTCTCACCTCTGTAACTGATACATTCTGCTGGAGAGCTTGTTCTTCTGAAAAATCACAGATATATTGCCCAGATCACTAGATGAAAATAAAAGGAAAGCCCCAAAAAAAGAAAATGAATGCAGCCATCCCATCTAAATTTGGTCATACATGAGTCAATTTTTTTTGTTCAAGAAGTGGGTTGAATAAAGGAAAATGACTCGATTGCTCCATCCACACAACTGATGTTGAGGGGGAATCTCTCCCATTGAGCTATTATGTTCTGACAATGGGGAGACTTTCTGGTCATCAAAATGCACAGATCAGCGAACATTTTCCAACAGGCGGCTTGCACACAAGTCAATTTATAGATGTACAATCAGCCTGCCCATACATGGATTAAAGTTCAGCTTGTCGCTTTTGAATCAGCCGAATTTCAACCTACGCATGGCTGGCCTTAGAAATTGTACGCTGCACTGTAATAAATATTTGCTTTTGGGGTTAATAGCACATTAAGCTGCTCTTTATGCAACATTCAAAAAAAAATATATGGAGCCTTCATTTTAAGGGGAAACCATACAGAAATGTAGTGAAGGTTGGTCTGAATAGTGAGCCTATTTGATCTATATACAGTGAAATTTGTCTTAAAAAGGTTTGGATTTCATGCACTAGCTGCGTAGGACAAAAAGCACACATAGGAAAAGAAACCCAAAATAAAACAAACAATTTAGTATGATGAGGCTTATTATTTCTTACTTATTTTACACAGCTAATTATAAAAAATTGACATTTAAAGAGAACCTGTTGTCAACAAAACTTTTTAGGATTGCTTTAAGCTTCCATTCTTAGATTCTCGGGTGGCCGCCTCAATCACAGTGGTGCTGAAGGAGTGCTACAGGCTGCATTCACATAGGCATTTAGCCACGGTGTGAATCCCAGTGGCAGGAAGCAAATGATTCCTACTAATAATGACAGCTGCGTGCAGATAGCAATGACAGGCCGTTGGCAGCCACAGCTATTCGTGCCGCTGGAATTTGCATCATGGCTAAATGACCGTGCAAATGCAGCCTAACCTGTACTGCCAGGATCTCAGTGAGCTGCTAGAATTCTGATAATGGCAGTGTCTCTCTAAAGGCTTGCAAGCCCAGTATTTATTCCCCTTAAAGTAGGCTGATTGTTCCATAGTTGCGCCTGAAACATAAGCAAACAAAAATATTTTCAAGAAAAACATCTTACTACAGCAAATGCAATGCCCGGTGTAGGACATTTTTTTCAGCTCAGTGACCCATTGATGTTGGTCAGCATAGCACACACTGCCCAGAGCTGATTAGTTATGCCTGCCAAGGCAAATGGCAAAACATTATCAAAAAGATGATACTGACGAACACGGTCAATATCTTGATTGATACAAATTCTTAGACGAGCAAGAGAATTGATATCAGTGCTTTGTCCTATAGGTTCTTCACTGCTCTTTTCAGAATGTGGAGTAGAGGTGACCACCTGTTCTTGAATGTCATGCTTTTCCTTCATATTATTTCTGGGTGTATTTGAGGTTTCCTTTGTCTCCATGTGGTCATCGGAAATCTCAACTACATGGTCAGATGTCGTCACCACTTCTTCCACAACTTTTTCTTCAGTTATAACCTCTACCATCTCTTCGTCACCCACAGACTGGTCTACTTCCACAACTGCATCCTCTACACCTGTGGAGGTTGTCACTACCAAGGTTTCTTGACCTTGCTCGTTAGAGGATGCCAAGATGTACATAGTATTATGATCTTCTGAAGGCTGACTTAACATGACTGTAGCTTCACGGCACTCACGAGGCAGGGGCGGCAGTTTATAATTGGGGGGACAACTGCAAATGCTCCAACAGATTCCACCAGGTCCTGTATACCAAAATCTTTATCGGTGATGACCCTGTCACCAGGTTCCAACAAATCCAAGATTCCAGATGACTTTGTGATGTCTCTTGTTGATGCACAGCCAGAGTACAGGGGACTTATAAATATCACAGCTCCATGGGGTGCTATGCCAAGCAAACCCTTGTAAGACGCATGACTGTAGTATATCTGGGAACTTGTGCTATCCGTATTACTTGTCTGCACTTTAATTTCGGCACAATGTAAGGTCACCCGGGCACGAGGGTAGGAAGCTTTGAAGCACTCCGGCACATCTTGGCAATCGGTTTCACGGCTACGCCAAAGTGGTATCTCTCCAAGGACAAGGTATAAATAGTGAGCCCATGTGATAACAATCCTGGTAACCCTGTTTTGTGTCATGTTAAAGCGAACAGCTAAATCTCTATCATGGAATCCTTGCCGAACTTTACATAAAAACAAGAAGAACTGGTCAATCTGTGGCATGGTCTCATATTCCGCCACCGACTGCTTGTTGAAACCTGCATTTCCTTCCTGCTGGCATTGCTTCCATTTGTCAGAGCTACCTTCTGTTTCAGTCAATGTTGAAAACACAACTTTGAAGGTGGAATAATCTTTGAAGCCGGTGTAAAAATTAATAAGGCTTGGATCTGTGGAAAACCGCTCCAGGAAGAACATGTTTTTCTCCAAAGCGGCATTACGTTGCTGCAGCCTTGCTATTTCTTCACGAGCTGCATGCAGCATTTCTGTGTCTGTCATCGGGGGAAGGTCATAACAGTGGTCCAGAATGGACGCGGTTATATCCGCTGGCTGGGATGGCTTGCTATTCTGCACTGTGGGGGTTGTGATGGCAAAATGGGCTGAAGGGTGTTTTTTTTGCAGACCTAGTGACGTAAAAAGAAAAAAAAAAAAAAAAAAAAACACAATTGGCGTCAAACATTGTATATTTTTATTTATTCCACATAAAGCTGTATTTTAGATTACAGAATATGTTAGCTCAACATTTCATATTCCTGATATGTGCTTGCTGTACCATGTACTTGTGATAAAAAGTATCCCCTTCTCTTTGTATTATATAACTGGTGATCCTGGCATTCCCACCACTTTCCTATTTCAAATTGGCCATGCTAGGCCAATCCATCTATCACCATTCTATTTCTACCTCATATCTCAGCGCAGTCAAATTTTCTGACTGTGCTGGAAGTACAGCCTGCCTTGTCCTCCAATGGCCAAGATATGTGTTGGCTTGTTCCCCACTACACAGCCATTCACTGGGAAGATCAGTGTACTGCTTTTTCTCCACCATCAGCTCTCCAAGCCCCTTAAAGAAAGTGTGTTTGTGTATATAAAAATATACACACACACGCAAATGGTTTGCCTTTTATTTCTATGGTAAACTGAATGGGTTGTTGTTTTACAAGGTAAGGGTTCACATATACTTTATGAGAAATAAATGACCCTTGCAACCCTCCCGAGTCCCATCAACACTATTAGAATATTACGCTGGTACATTTGAGGTGATTTACCCAGAGTTCTTTTTTAAAGTAGACATCTGTTCCTCTGTGTGCTCATTTGTTGTCCACTGAAATATGCATGGCACACTATAGGGTTTGAGATTCCTTTTTACCCGTCAACGTCTTTACAAAATCCGTTGGAAGAAAATGTTTAGAACACACCCTGGTGCAACTGGATATCTGGAAGAAGAAAGATGTGTATTATAATCCATGTTCTACAATACCTGTATTAATTTTTCTGGTACCAAAAAGCTTTTATTTGGAAAATTGGAGAGCATACAATGCGTAAACAGTAACAAAAACATAGTTAAAGATATAATATATTAGAGTGGTTCACCCACACAAGGATACATGAATAGTAGAAAAAGTACAATATCAAAAAGTTGCTTGGAACCAAAGTGCTACACTGAAGTTCAGTAAGGATCACATACAAATCAAGATTAGAAAACATGGCATGGGTCGTGCAACCTAACCCCTATCAATATAACCGTGTGCATATGCCAGTGGGTGGTGGGGTGGCAGGAGCCCCATGAGAGTTCCATCGCACACCTTGGGGGGGGGGGGGGGGGGGGGGGGGGGGGGAGGCCTACACAGTTTCTAGATGATATAGAAGGTAAATAGTGGAAAGAGAAAGAAAGAAGGAGAGAAGAAAAAAAAAAGGGGGAGGGGGGCAATAGCGATAAGGCAAGGTATGGGGGGGGGGGGGGGGGGGGGGGGTCAAGGAGCATTCCCCACAATGGATAAGTAGCCAGAAAGCATGCCCCTTTAAGACCTGGGAGAGGCAATAATAGAGTGCCCAATTAAAGATGGAGCAGCCTAATAGTGAAGCGAAAGACTGAGTGGTGGTCAAGCCATGGCTGCCAAATGGAGAAATTTGTTGTGTTTGTCCTCAAGCACCGCCGTCGTTTTTCTTTTATAAAGAATCCCTGGATCCTGCACCTTCTAAAAATTCAGAGACGGTGACTTCCACACATCAGCTACAGTCTGTTTCGTTGCCATAAAGAAGGACAAAACGAGGGCGCGTGATCGCTGTGGTACATCTTTGAGTCATCTATGGAGAAGGGCTTCACCAGGATTTTTCCAGATATTAAGATGTATGACTGAATAGATCATGTTATATACTCTGGACCATAAGTGACGAGATACTGGGCAAGACCACCAGATAAGAAACATGGTCCCTTCAGCCTTGCAGCCTCTGAAGAAAAGTGGGCTATAGTCGGGAACATATTTCGCTATATGGGCCGCGGTGAAAAATACCACCTCGTTAGGACCTTATATGCATTCTCTAGAGTTTGTATATTCTGGGAGCATTTCAAGATCGTCTGCCAAATCAGCGTGCAATCCGCTTCAGTTAGAGACTCACACAGGTCCTGTGCTCAAGCAGTACAATATGGAGGTAAAGGTGCAGAAGCGTGCCCTCGAATAGAGGAGTAAATCGAAGACAAAGTTCCCTTCATTGTAGTTCTGGATTTACAGATAGACTTGAAGTTCGTCAGACTTAGGCCCCATGTACACGGGACACTACTGAACGATGGAAACTGACTGCTGGAAAACGTAGGTTAAAAAATGTCGGTTTAGCCGCGTTTGCATAACGCGTTTACCTTTATAAGCATATTTTAAAGATAAGCAAAAGAGAACCTCCCAAATGCCCAGAATGCCCTGAAAAGTGGTAAATTATTAACTATTTCAGACTGTTTCTGAGAAATACAGAGAGTAGAAGCAGAGACAGCAGTACGTGTTGAAATTAGCTTAGGATTGCGTTGCTCATTAACATTTCTTTTGTTTCCAAAGGTGGGAAAGGTGTCTGGTGGAGGGAGTCATTAAGGCCACCTGGCAGGGGGTCTTCATGAGGAATTTGAGGTGTGAATTGGTCATTACAATATGTGACAAGCTTGGTAGGAACATCCTGTGTTCAGTGTTTTGTCCATCTGAGTACCTTGAAAATGCTTTGCATGCATTTTTCATGATGAAAAAAGGCTCTGGACAGCATCAGGAACTGACAGAGTTAAAAAAAAATTTACAGATGCAAACGCTTATAAACGCGATTTACAAGCATTTGAAACGCTGATCAAATCGACTGCTGAACGCAAGTTTTCTGCGTTCAAAAAAACGACTGTAAAACGAAGATGTCTACACAGACACATAGGAAAACATTAGGGGGAGTTCAGGGGCTGCAGAAAAAAAACGCTGAACAGCTCCTAAACGTGAGTTTATCAGCTGCAGTGTACATGAGCCCTTAGGTGACCAGAGAAGTGAGAAAATGGTGCAATTGCAGGTAGCAGAGGAGTTTGTTAGAAGTGTGACGATTTTCCCTGAATTGTTGAAAAGTGATGAGGACTTTCACAGTCAGCATAAAATGGACAGTAGTAAAACCGTTAAACCTGCATTCTCATGGTGGGCCTTTATCCATTATTCCTGGGGGAAGAGGGTCAAACGAGGGGACATCAAACCCACAGAATACTTGCAGCTGTCCCAAACTCCCCAAGTGTGGGCCCTGTATTCATTTTTCATGTAGAGTGGACCTCTTAGTATCTTTATAAGACAGCATGAATAAATAGCTGGCAATTCTGAAGACGCAGTAACAGTGACATTTTTTAATGGGTTTGTTTACTATAAAGCAGGCCTCAGACTCCAAACCTTAGGCCCCGTGCACACGGGCGGACTTCGTCCCGATCAGCATTGGATATGTGAGCAGATTCCCCACTGATTGGAGCAGACTAGGCAGGTGACAGGTCCATGTCCGCTCAGTATATACAGAAACTGTTTACAACCGACTGCCCTCCGATCCACTCAACTTAGATGGAACAGACAGATCAATTTTTTTTTTTTTTTCTCCCCAGAGGACCAGATCAGATTGGAGGTAGGTAGGTGTAAACGTACACAAGTCCATTTACACCCGCCGCTCCATAGGGACATCCGATCAGGTCCACCTGAAAAAAATGACAGGGGCCTGACTCTGCCTAGGCTGAGAGGTGAAAATTTCTCCTGTGGACAGTAATCCCTCAAGGGTCTATACATACAATATTTGCTGCGTGATCGATTTTACAGCACTTACCTATCATTTTCAAAGAGGATTCGTCCATCACAATTCAAATCAAACAAGATTCACCAACAAACATACAGCACAGTACAGTCATTCTATTTAACCTCTTGCCGCCCTGCCACTGTATATATACACACGTGTGCAGGGCGGCACTGGGGGCGCAAAACCATGTTTTAAAACGGGTTGCGCGCTCCCGATGTTTTCGCAGGCAGTGGGCACGCGGTGACACCATTTGATCCCGGAGGGATCAATCATTCGATTTCAGCCAGTGATGTCTGGCTGAAATCAGATGATCGGTCCCTGTCCTATCCTGTCCTGTGTTGACATTTACACAGGGCAGGATATGATGTCATTCTTCTCTGCCTGGACACATTCCGTTCCAGACAGTGAAGAAGACATCCAAACAGTGAGTAAAACAGCACATACCCACAGTTAGAACACACCTAGGACACATTTAACCCCCTGATTGCCCCCCCCCCCCAGGTAACCCCTTCACTGCCCTGTCACCAGTGTCACTGATCAGTGAATCGATTTTTACTGATCACTGTATCAGTGTCGCTGGCGACTTCCGATAGTGTTAGCGCCCCTCCCAGATAGCGCCAGTTTGCCCGCTAGTACACCAGTAATCCAATTTAACCCCTTAATCTCTCCCCCCCCCCAGTTAACCCCTTCACTGCCCTGTCACCAGTGTCATTGATCAGTGAACCAATTTCTACTGATCACTGTATCAGTGTCGCTGGCGACTTCCAATAGTGTTAGCGCCCGTCCCAGATAGTGCCAGTTTGGCCGCCAGTACACCAGTAATCCCATTTAACCCCTTCACTGCCCTGTCACCAGTGTCATTGATTACAGTGAACAGATTTTTACTGATCACTGTATTAGTGTCACTGGTGACTTCCGATAGTGTTAGCGCCCCTCCCATATAGCGCCAGTTTGCCCGCTAATGCACGGGATTTTTTTTACCAAAAACATGTAGCAGAATACATTTTGGCTTAAATTTATGACTAACTTTGAGTTTACGATATTTTTTTATAGCTGAAAGTAGAAAATATTGTTTTTTTTCAAAATTTTCGTGTTTTTTTTGTTTATAGCGCAAAAAATAAAAAGAACACAGATGATAAAATACCATCAAAAGAAAGCTATTTGTGTGAAAAAAAGGACGTAAATTTCATTTGGGTGCAGCATTGCATGACCGCGCAATTATCATCTGAATTAGTGCAGCGCCAAACAGCAAAAAAAGGCCTGGTCATTAAGGGGGGTAAATCCTCAGGAGCTCAAGTGGTTAAACAGAAATTGCCCATCAGCCACTGCAGTACACACAGTGAGAATACACACTGAAAATGATAGCTGAAGCAGTACAATAGACATCCAGCAAACATTCGCAAAAGTGCAAATCGAACAACTGCCATTTAAATGGTTTTGTACCATCTCTGAGCTGGTATCTCAGTCCAATAAGTTGGTGACCCTGGTTGATGCCTGAACAAAGATGGTGCCATCCCTCTTAAAAGAGAAGCAGATAAAGGCATTGCTAGGTGTAGTGTTGTGCTGTTAGAAGGAATATCTAGCAGTATGCCACGGAATGGGGTGTAACCAGATGGCATCCATTTACATCCGTTCCAAAAGATCTGAACGTACAGGAGTCCTTTACAAAAATGGACAGGAATGGACTGAGATGGTAAATGGATGATCGTCCATAGAAATACACTGCTGTCCATTTTTCATCCATCAACCATGTGAAAGGGGGGGCTTAGACCTCCTATCATTTAAGGCCTCTTTCCCACGGTCAGACTGTCAAGGACAGCAATGTTTTTCTTTGGACCAATGGATGTCAACGGATGATCATCTGTTTACCATCTGCATCTGCTCCGGTCCATTTTTTTTTTTTTTTTTTTTTTTTTTTTTTTAAAAGGGACAAGGTATGCCCAGATCCATTGAAATGGAATGGATATAAATGGAAGCCATCTGTTTACATCCATCCTGTTTATAGGCAAGAAGATTTTTTTGTTTATCCTTTTGTCACCTCTGATTGGTCTCCCCACCAACTGAGAACAGAAGCAGAAACGGATGAAGACTGATGTAACGTGAACTGAAGACTGATGTAACGTGAACTGAAGACTGATGTAACGTGAACTGAAGACTGATGTAAACTGAATGTGTCTTATCTTTGAAAAAATGTGACTAAACAGATAATGAGAGGTCTTAGAGGTATGGAGGAATCAATTGAATGATCAGATTGTTAAGTGTATGGCCACCTTTACACCTCCCATTGTTTTCGTCACAACAATCGATCGATCATACTGATACGTGTGTAGCCGCTCCTGCACCCCCCATCATTCTAGAGGTATGGAACAATCGATTGATCATATTGATACGTGTGTAGTCGCTCCTGCACCCCCAATCATTCTAGAGGTATGGAGCAATCGACTGATCATACTGATACGTGTGTAGTCGCTCTCCTGCACCCCCCATCATTTTAGAGGTATGGAACAATCGATTGATCATACTGATACGTGTGTAGTCGCTCCTGCACCCTCCATCATTTTAGATGTGTTGAACAATCGATTGATCATACTGATACGTGTGTAGTCGCTCCTGCACCCCCCATCATTTTAGATGTATGGAACAATCGATTGATCATACTGATACGTGTGTAGTCGCTCCTGCACCCCCCATCATTTTAGAGGTATGGAACAATCGATTGATCATACTGATACGTGTGTAGTCGCTCCTGCACCCTCCATCATTTTAGATGTATGGAACAATCGATTGATCATACTGATACGTGTGTAGTCGCTCCTGCACCCTCCATCATTTTAGATGTATGGAACAATCGATTGATCATACTGATACGTGTGTAGTCGCTCCTGCACCCCCCATCGTTTTAGAGGTATGGAACAAGCGATTGATCATACTGATACGTGTGTAGTCGCTCCTGGACCCCCCGTTTTAGAGGTACGGAACAATCGATCGATCATATTGATACGTGTGTAGTCACTCCTGCACCCCCCATCGTTTTAGAGGTACGGAACAATCGATCGATCATACTGATACGTGTGTAGTCGCTCCTGCACCCCCCATCATTTTAGAGGTACGGAACAAACGATTGTTCATATTGATACGTGTGTAGCCGCTCCTGGACCCCCCATCATTTTAGAGGTACGGAACAAACGATTGTTCATATTGATACGTGTGTAGTCGCTCCTGCACTCCCCATCATTTTAGAGGTATGGAACAATCGATTGATCATACTGATACGTGTCTAGCCGCTTCTGGACCCCCCATCATTTTAGAGGTATGGAGTAATCGATTGATCATACTGATACGTGTGTAGTCGTTCCTGCACCCTCCCCCCATCGTTTTAGATGTATGGAACAATCGATTGATCATACTGATACGTGTGTAGTCGCTCCTGCACCCCCCATCGTTTTAGAGGCATGGAACAATTGATTGATCATATTGATACGTGTATGGCCACCGCCCATCACTCCATCACTTAGACCGATTGACAGATGGCATCGAGCACCCCTCCCCCACCATCCTATGACGGGCCCCTGTATAACACCCGGATTACCTTGAAGTTGGGCCCCGGCTCTCGGCGGATGCGGGTCAGCCAGGCACGGTGTCTCTGCGGCTCCACATGGAGGGCTGGGATTCTATGGAAGGAGATCTTCTTATCTGCATTGTACCTGGCATCACTGTTACAGAAAGGGACACAGCAGTGATAGGCAGCCATGGGGGGGCCACCAGTCTAACACATGCCTGAGAGGGGACCCCCAGGTGGACCCTGTCCTGGGCTCTGTGCCTTACACTCTCCTGAACTGAATGACACCCAACCAGCAGGGTAAGCTGACCCTGACAACCCCCAACACTCGCCAACACCAGCACACAGCCCTCTCCCCCCAAACCTTTCAAACTTGCCCGTCTCTGCGCAGTATTAGGCTTTCCGCCTCACTGCGCATGCGTTAACCAAGCAACTCAGACTTCCGCTTCCGTCTATGCGTGTCATGTGGGTGGGCGGTCAGAAAAGTCAGCGTTCCACCAGAGACGAGCTGACAGCGCGCATGCGTCCATGTGTGTCATGTGGGTGGTCGAGCAAGAAGTCTCCGCCTTCCACCAGAGACGAACTGACAGTGCGCATGCGTTCAAGTGTCATGTGTGTAGGCGGGGCAGGAAACACGATGTTCCACTAGCGAAGAGTTGACACTGCGCATGCGTATTACTTTCCCTACATTAAATAAAATGTATAGACGTACAGGATACATGTATGTGGAGTCCGTGCTTCAGAGTTGATCTATAAAGGACAAATCCAGCTGGTCACAAGCTATCTCTGCCATGCGGCGGGGCCGGGATTAGAACCCGCCAATGTGTATCTGCGAAGGAAACACTTGATACTTTGTATTCCATATGTTGAAGGGGGCGGGGCTACATAGCGGCTCACGCGTGCTAGAACCAATCATATCCGTCCTAATACAGGACGAGCGATACTAAAGAGCTCAATATTAGTCATGATAAACGACGATTTATTGTGTATGGCGGGAAAGGACGGGCGCAGGATAGGCGCAAATTGCCCGAAAGGGGCGCTAAACTGGCGGTAACCGGGCGCAGAATGCGAGCTGAAATGATACATTTAGGCGCCAACACATGTCAGTTATACAGCTTAGCGCCTATTAGGTTTGTCATGTGACCAGGGGCGGGGCCCCCTACAGAAGGATGGCTAGGAGAAGGGCGCCCCCTAGAGAATGATGGACAGGAGGGGCGGGGTTCCTCTAGCTGATGGACAGGAGGGGCGGGGTTCCTCTAGCTGATGGTCAGGAGGGGCGGGGTTCCTCTAGCTGATGGTCAGGAGGGGCGGGGTTCCTCTAGCTGATGGACAGGAGGGGCGGGGTTCCTCTAGCTGATGGTCAGGAGGGGCGGGGTTCCTCTAGCTGATGGTCAGGAGGGGCGGGGTTCCTCTAGCTGATGGACAGGAGGGGCGGGGTTCCTCTAGCTGATGGACAGGAGGGGCGGGGTTCCTCTAGCTGATGGTCAGGAGGGGCGGGGTTCCTCTAGCTGATGGACAGGAGGGGCGGGGTTCCTCTAGCTGATGGACAGGAGGGGCGGGGTTCCTCTAGCTGATAGTCAGGAGGGCCGTTCTCCTCTATTTGATGGACAGAAGGGGAGGAACCTGGGCAGACCATTTGGAAACCCGGGCGCTGCCCGAGGGCCCGGGGTCAGTAGGGGGCCCCATGAGATGCCCCTGGTACCTTTATCATAGGCTTTTTTTGAGTTTGGGCAAGGACACAGGGGCCCCATGATCCCCTATTGCCCGGGGGCCCCATGAGTTGTCAGTCCGCCCCTGGAAGGAGCTCATCTTGCTGATGGACAGGAGAGGCGGGGCTCCATTAGCTGATAGTCAGGAGGGGTGGGGCTCCTGTAGCTGATGGACAGGAGAGGCGGGGCTCCTTTAGCTGATAGGAGGGGTGGGGGCTCCTGTAGTTGATGGACAGAAGGGGCGGGGATCCTATAGCTGATGGACAGTAGAGGCGGGGCTCCTTTAGCTGATAGTCAGGAGGGGTGGGGCTCCTGTAGCTGATGGACAGGAGAGGCGGGGCTCCTTTAGCTGATAGTCAGGAGGGGTGGGGCTCCTGTAGCTGATGGACAGAAGGGGCGGGGATCCTATAGCTGATGGACAGGAGGGGCGGGGATCCTATAGCTGATGGACAGTAGAGGCGGGGCTCCTATGGCTGATGGTCAGGAGGGTTGGGGCTCCTGTATCTGATAGACAGGAGGGGTGTGGTTCACAAACAAGGAAGTGGAACGGCCAGGTGAGCAGACAGGTGAGGGAGGCTGCGGGCAGCTGGGAAGTATATATATATAAAGTATTGGTGTGATGATATTTGTCTCCTTCAGTCAGCTCATTCTGGGCTCCTCCTCCGTGTGCGGAGTGCGGTCTCTGGTATTGCTGAGTAGCTCAGCCCCGGCAGTGTGGTTGGACAGGTTGGGACAAGTGTGATGAAGGCTGCACTGTATACACCGACACAGCTGGGAAGGGGAGTTTCAGTCACCTCTTCCAGTGCGCACTGTTCATCCTTCACCACTTCTTGCTTGATTTTTATTTTTTTTTTTTATTGGGCATGTTTTATAACAGTAAAAAAAAAATTTTTTTTTCAAAAATTTAAATCTTTTTTTCATTTATATAGCAAAAAATGAAAACCCCCAGTTGTGATCCAGTACCACCAAAATAAAGCTCTATATGTATGAAAAAAATGATGTAATTCTTTTGTAGGAAAAACACTGCTTTTTGCTTTAAAAAAAAAAAAAAAGTCCAAAAAAAGCTGCAGTTCAAAAACACATTGATGTGAACATGCTCCATTGGAAACCTTGTTAAAGCATTACTAAACCCTGGACCCTGCATCCATTATAACTGGTCACCCCGGATCCTGCATCCACTATACCCGCTCTCCCCGGATCCTGCATCCACTATATCCGCTCTCCCCGGACCCTGCATTCACTATACCCGCTCTCCCCGGATCCTGCATCCACTATATCCGCTCTCCCCGGATCCTGCATCCACTATACCCGCTCTCCCCGGACCCTGCATCCACTATATCCGCTCTCCCCGGATCCTGCATCCACTATATCCGCTCTCCCCGGATCCTGCATCCACTATACCCGCTCTCCCCGGACCCTGCATCCACTATATCCGCTCTCCCCGGACCCTGCATCCACTATACTCCGCTCTCCCCGGATCCTGCATCCACTATATCCGCTCTCCCCGGATCCTGCATCCACTATATCCGCTCTCCCCGGATCCTGCATCCACTATACCCGCTCTCCCCGGACCCTGCATCCACTATACCCGCTCTCCCCGGACCCTGCATCCACTATACCCGCTCTCCCCGGACCCTGCATCCACTATATCCGCTCTCCCCGGATCCTGCATCCACTATACCCGCTCTCTCCCCGGACCCTGCGTCCACTATACCCGCTCTCCCCGGACCCTGCGTCCACTATACCCGCTCTCCCCGGACCCTGCATCCACTATATCCGCTCTCCCCGGATCCTGCGTCCACTATACCCGCTCTCCCCGGACCCTGCATCCACTATATCCGCTCTCCCCGGACCCTGCGTCCACTATGTACGGTCTCCTCGGACCCTGCATCCACTATGTCCGGTCTCCCCGGACCCTGCGTTCACTATGTCCGCTCTCCCCGGACCCTGCGTCCACTATGTCCGCTCTCCCCGGACCCTGCGTCCACTATGTCCGCTCTCCCCGGACCCTGCGTCCACTATGTCCGCTCTCCCCGGATCCTGCGTCCACTATGTCCGCTCTCCCCGGACCCTGCGTCCACTATGTCCGCTCTCCCCGGACCCTGCGTCCACTATACCCGCTCTCCCCGGATCCTGCGTCCACTATACCCGCTCTCCCCGGATCCTGCGTCCACTATACCCGCTCTCCCCGGATCCTGCATCCACTATACCCGCTCTCCCCGGATCCTGCATCCACTACACCCGCTCTCCCCGGATCCTGCGTCCACTATACCCGCTCTCCCCGGATCCTGCATCCACTACACCCGCTCTCCCCGGATCCTGCGTCCACTATACCCGCTCTCCCCCGGATCCTGCGTCCACTACACCCGCTCTCCCCGGACCCTGCATCCACTACACCCGCTCTCCCCGGATCCTGCATCCACTACACCCGCTCTCCCCGGATCCTGCATCCACTACACCCGCTCTCCCCGGATCCTGCATCCACTATATCCGGTCTCCCCGGACCCTGCGTCCACTATACCCGGTCTCCCCGGACCCTGCGTCCACTATGTCCGGTCCCCGGACCCTGCATTCACTATGTCCGCTCTCCCCGGACCCTGCGTCCACTATGTCCGCTCTCCCCGGACCCTGCGTCCACTATGTCCGCTCTCCCCGGACCCTGCGTCCACTATGTCCGCTCTCCCCGGACCCTGCGTCCACTATGTCCGCTCTCCCCGGACCCTGCGTCCACTATGTCCGCTCTCCCCGGACCCTGCATCCACTATACCCGCTCTCTCCCCCGGATCCTGCGTCCACTATACCCGCTCTCCCCGGATCCTGCATCCACTATACCCGCTCTCCCCGGATCCTGCATCCACTACACCCGCTCTCCCCGGATCCTGCATCCACTATACCCGCTCTCCCCGGATCCTGCATCCACTACACCCGCTCTCCCCGGATCCTGCGTCCACTACACCCGCTCTCCCCGGATCCTGCGTCCACTACACCCGCTCTCCCCGGATCCTGCGTCCACTATACCCGCTCTCCCCGGACCCTGCATCCACTACACCCGCTCTCCCCGGATCCTGCATCCACTACACCCGCTCTCCCCGGATCCTGCATCCACTATACCCGCTCTCCCCGGATCCTGCATCCACTATACCCTCTCTCCCCGGACCCTGCATCCACTATGTCCGTTCTCCCCGGACCCTGCATCCACTATGTCCGTTCTCCCCGGACCCTGCATCCACTATGTCCGGTCTCCCCGGACCCTGCATCCACTATACCCGCTCTCCCCGGACCCTGCATCCACTATACCCGCTCTCCCCGGATCCTGCATCCACTATACCCGCTCTCCCCGGATCCTGCATCCACTATACCCGCTCCGCTCTCCCGGATCCTGCATCCACTATACCCGCTCTCCCCGGATCCTGCATCCACTATACCCGCTCTCCCCGGATCCTGCATCCACTATACCCTCTCTCCCCGGATCCTGCATCCACTATACCCGCTCTCCCCGGATCCTGCATCCACTATACCCGCTCTCCCCGGACCCTGCATCCACTATATCCGCTCTCCCCGGACCCTGCATCCACTATATCCGCTCTCCCCGGACCCTGCATTCACTATACCCGCTCTCCCCGGACCCTGCATCCACTATACCCGCTCTCCCCGGATCCTGCATCCACTATACCCTCTCTCCCCGGATCCTGCATCCACTATACCCGCTCTCCCCGGATCCTGCATCCACTATACCCGCTCTCCCCGGATCCTGCATCCACTATACCCTCTCTCCCCGGATCCTGCATCCACTATACCCGCTCTCCCCGGATCCTGCATCCACTATATCCGCTCTCCCCGGACCCTGCATCCATTATACCCGCTCTCCCCGGATCCTGCATCCACTATATCCGCTCTCCCCCGGACCCTGCATTCACTATACCCGCTCTCCCCGGTCCCTGCATTCACTATATCCGCTCTCCCCGGACCCTGCATTCACTATATTTGATCTCCCCGCATCCTGCATTCACTATATCCGCTCTCCCTGGACCCTGCATTCACTATATCCGGTCTCCCCGGACCCTGCATTCACTATATCCGATCTCCCCGCATCCTGCATTCACTATATCCGGTCTCCCCGGACCCTGCATTCACTATATCCTCTCTCCTTGGACCCTGCATTCACTGTATCCGGTCTCCCCGGACCCTGCATTCACTGTATCCGGTTTCCCCGGACCCTGCATTCACTGTATCCGGTCTCCCAGGACCCTGCATTCACTATATCCGGTTTCCCTGGACCCTGCATTCACTATATCTGGTTTCCCTGGACCCTGCATTCACTATATCTGGTCTCCCTGGACCCTGCATTCACTATATCTGGTCTCCCTGGACCCTGCATTCACTATATCTGGTCTCCCTGGACCCTGCATTCACTATATCTGGTCTCCCTGGACCCTGCATTCACTATATCTGGTTTCCCAGGACCCTGCATTCACTATATCTGGTCTCCCCGGACCCTGCATTCACTATATCTGGTCTCCCCGGACCCTGCATTCACTATATCTGGTTTCCCAGGACCCTGCATTCACTATATCTGGTCTCCCTGGACCCTGCATTCACTATATCTGGTTTCCCAGGACCCTGCATTCACTATATCTGGTCTCCCCGGACCCTGCATTCACTATATCTGGTCTCCCTGGACCCTGCATTCACTATATCTGGTCTCCCTGGACCCTGCATTCACTATATCTGGTTTCCCAGGACCCTGCATTCACTATATCTTGTCTCCTTGGACCCTGCATTCACTATATCTGGTCTCCCCGGACCCTGCATTCACTATATCTGGTCTCCCCGGACCCTGCATTCACTATATCTGGTTTCCCAGGACCCTGCATTCACTATATCTGGTCTCCCCGGACCCTGCATTCACTATATCTGGTCTCCCTGGACCCTGCATTCACTATATCTGGTTTCCCAGGACCCTGCATTCACTATATCTTGTCTCCCTGGACCCTGCATTCACTATATCTGGTCTCCCCGGACCCTGCATTCACTATATCTGGTCTCCCCGGACCCTGCATTCACTATATCTGGTCTCCCCGGACCCTGCATTCACTATATCCGGTCTCCTCGGACCCTGCATTCACTATATCTGGTCTCCCACAGTACACAGAACATGGAAATGCAACTCTTCTAGTAAATATAAACTGCTAAATACCTTTTCTCATCAGCAGTTAGAGCAGTCTTGTGACTTCTATCAGTGTCCAGCAGAGCACTGGTTAAAGCTTGTAGGAGGAGTTTTCTTTCTGCTCTAGGATGATGCAGAGCCCCTGACCTCTGTCCTGACAGTGCTGATTGGTCCTGTGCTGATAACATGCACTCTCCGAAGAATAAACCAAAGCTCTAGCAACACACTAAACTGAGCATGTGCATGTGGCTACAGGTTCAGTCTGTCTTATCAGGAGATAAGACGTGGATATTTGAACAAGTGGAGGGACAGAGAAGACAGGATCATACGTTCTTTTTACACAATGCAGAGGATTAACCCCGTAGGTTCCCCAGTGAGTATAACAAGCATGCTTTACTGCATATACAGACTGATTTTACTGTTGTGGGTTTAGTAACACTTTAAATGGACTGTAGTGCTTTTCTGCAAAAAGCACTAAAAGAACACATTGGTGTGAACGGAGCTTTCATGTTGAGTTTTCCAATCTGTCTGTTGTACCAGGTCATTTTTTGCAGCCAGAGTCAGTCAGGCACTAATAGATTTTCTGTGTTTTCAGTGCAGCCATGCAGCTTTTTATCAGTGGCCAGTCGCTGCACACCTTGGATGTGTCTGACGAGGACACGGTGCTGGATGTTAAGGTATGCGTCTGCTTGTATTTCAAGCCTGTCTCTGGCTGAATTTATATTTTATAATATAGTTAACGGAGCATTGTAAAAAAAAAAAAAAAAAAAATTGTTAAAAGTAGAACTATAGGCAAAACTTTTTTTTATTCATTTTGGATACAGTAAGGGAGGATATGAACCGTCAGATTTTTTTTTTTTTTTCGCTATCTGTGTCCCATTGGAGAGATTTCCCTTCACTTCCTGTCTCAGCCATACAGGGAATTTCTTGGGGTCCCCCCAGGTCACCAGAACTAGTGTCCCCATTGGAAGATTACCCCTCTATTACTTTTCTAGAGACACCCTGAAATTTGGGATTTTCTTTACTTTCAGTGATAATGGTAAACAGGCAGGGGCGGACTGACAACTCATGGGGCCCCCGGGCAATAGGGGATCATGGGGCCCGTGTCCTTGCCCAAACTCAAAAAAGCCTATGCAAAAAGGTACCAGGGGCATCTCATGGGGCCCCCTACTGACCCCGGGCCCTCAGGCAGTGCCCAAGTTTCCAAATGGTCAGTCCGCCCCTGTAAACAGGACAAACAGAGAAGGTGAATCTCCCCAATGAGGGTACAAACAGTAATACATTCTGACGGGTTCTAATCCCTCTCCAATTTATCCAAAACTTAAAAAAAAAAGTTTTGCCTTTAGTTATACTTTAAAAATGGGACAAAAAAAGGACATTATGGTTCAGTTCACACACTGGGACCTCAGTCGTGCGACCAGTTTGCAACTTTTGTGATTTAGCATTGAAGTCTATGGCACTCAAGTCGCAGAAAAGTAGTGCATTAACCTTTTTTTGTCGCTGTGACTTGAGTCGCATTGATTAGGATGGCACCCAGTGGAAATGAATGTGTTTTGACTTGTCACACGAGTTTGTGTTCCAAGTCGCGGCAGTGTGAACAGGGCTTAGTCAAGTGATCTACTGCAGTACCTCTTTCTAGGCAGAAGATGTCCTCAGCCTTCTGCGTTGAATGACACCCAGTACAGCTAGATACTTTCTCTGGGTTAATGCGTTTGTAAAGGCAATTTTTTTTTTCTTTATTAAAATAATAAACATGTTTTTCACCTGCTCTGTGCAGTGGTATCTGGGGTCCCTTGCTGGCGCTCCTGACTCCTCCTCTGCTGTATATTTCCCCATAACAAATGCTTGCTATGGGGACATACATGTGGGCTCAATCCTGAGGTGGGCTGTGTGTGTCCATAAACACACATAGCACAGCTTGGCCCCTGCCCCCCACTTGGCTCACAGGGTTTGACTGACAGCATCAGGAGCCAATGGCTTCTGCTACTCTCAGCCAAGCTCATGAGAGTGGGGAGAAGGGAGAGAATATCAGCAGACAGGCATGACACTGAATCAATACAGGACTTGGGTGAGTATTTGAGGGGGGAAGGGGGAGGGCACAGCAAATAGCAAAATATATTTTATCCTAAAGTAAGCTCCAAGGAGCAGGACCCTCCTATCCATCTTGTATTGAGCCATATTGTTGCTGTATTGTCTCCCGTTATATTGTAAAGCGCTGAGCAAACTGTTGGCACTAAATAAATCCTGTATAATAATAATAAAAGTGTTATAAACCCATGACCCTGCATTCACTATATCTGGTTTTCCACAATACACGGGACATGGAAGTGTAATTATTTTAGTAAATATAAACTGCTAAATACCTTTTCTCAGCAGTATATAGCCTCTTGTGACTTCTATCAGTGTTCTTCTGAGCACTGGTTAAAGCTTCTAGGAGGAGTTTTCTCTAGGAGGATGCAGAATCCATGACCTCTGTCTGGACAGTGCTGATTGTCCCTCTCTCAAGAAAAAAAAAAAAAAACCTCTCTAGCAATACACAAAACTGAGCATGTGCAGAGGGACTCCACAGGATATGTCTTATCAGGAGATAAAAGGGGGATACTGGAAGAAGAGGGTCAGAGAAGTCAGGATCAAACAGCCTTTTTACACAATGCAGAGGATTAACCCCTTAGGTTCCACAGTGAGTATAACAAGCATGATTTACTGCATATACAGACTGATTTTACTGTTGTGGGTTTAGTAACACTTCAATGCAGGGAATGTATTAAAGCGGAACTCCACCCAGAAGGGGAAGTCTATAAGACACACAGAGCTGCGACTTGACCCTCCCGTCCCTTCGCTCTCGCTGGTGTGCTTAAGCCAATGAGGAGGGAGAGAAGGAGGGAGAGAGAGAGGGAAAAAGAAAGAGAGGGAGGGGAAGGGAGGGAGAGAGAGATTGATTCCCATGTGCATTGCTGGATCAGGAGGGGGCTCAGGTGGGTATAAGGGGGAGGGGGTCTGGGGGGGGAGCAGCACACAGGTTTTTTTTAACCTTCATCCATAAAATGCATGAAGGTAAAAAAAACCTTCAGCCTTTACAACCCCTTTAATGCTCTCTTCATCCCTTTTTCTCCATTAAAGCCCAAACTCTGGCCTCCATGAGGCCTCAGCAAGCAGTACGCTTTTTTTTTTTTTTCTTTTAATCAAACTGATCAGTAAACACTGTGCCACCCTATGTTCGGTCTTGTAATGGCAGTGCAGTTCATGGTCTTGGATAATGTAGGGAGCAGTGCACCACTTTCTGCATCAAAAGTGCGTGGTTCTTAGGGGTGGGACCATGCCTCTCTGCACTAACAGTCTTTCCCCGGTCTTCAGGTTGAGTGATGCTGGGTGTCATTCAACCTGGAACACTGAGTGCATCGTTTGAAAAATAAGAGGTACTGTAGAAGACAGTTCTAGATTGAATCTAAGTATTGCAGCCACAGATGCCCTTTGTACAATATAAGTGCCCCTACATGCTTACCTGTCACCCAGATTGCTCTTTTTCTGTGTCTGACCACTTGCTTTTTTTCGCTGCTGTCTTTGGTTTTCTGTTGGAGGTTGGTTTTATGCAAATATTGCAATAGAACACTACAGTAATATTCCCCATTGGCTACTCTCCAGTAAAACATTGTCTCCCTTATTATCAGTTGCAGTAACCATGATGTCTTATTTCTGCCATTTTCAGGCTCGTGTAGCACAACTTGAAGGCCTCTCGGATTGTGATGTTGTGCTGTCCTATGGAGGAGCGGCACTGGAGGATGATGTGGTTTTGTCTCAGAGTGGTGTTGGTGACCAGTGTACACTGGACTTGGCGGGCAGACTTCTGGGAGGTGCGTATTTCAGCTGGGTTGTGTTCATTTACAACAGGGGTGTCAAACTGGCATCCCTCCAGCTGTTGCAAAACTACAAGTCCCATCATGCCTCTGCCTTTCAGTCATGCTTGAAACTTTCAATCTTGCAATGCCTCATGGGACTTGTAGTTTGGCAACAGCTGGAGGGCCGTCAGTTTGACACCTGTGATTTACAAGGACAGTAAATTAAAAAAAGCTGTGTAATCAATCCCTCATGTGATCTTGGCCCACGCAAAGATTCCAAAAACATGAAGAATACTTGCACCAAGAAAAGAAGTAGGCTGCCAGTATTGACCTCCCATTTTTAAAAGGCTATATTTTTTTTTTAATGCAAAAGACCTATAGTTCTTGACCCTGAACACATTATGCCGGTCAGACATCGTGCCTTCAGTAGCTGCATGCATGTTCCGGACAGTGGCTTAGAATGTACTGAAGCCAAAGACAGCCAGGCAACAAGCATTATCAATAGGCAGAAATGGATGCCTCTGTATTTCTAACAGCACATGCTTTCTTTAACCGCCTCCCGCCTGCCATATATGGTAATGACGGGCGCAAGACTGTTGTCATATGACGTCCTCCCATTCTAACCATGCGTGCGCAGCTCTGGGAGCGTGCAGTGCGGCGATCGGTGGTGCGCTGTGTCCCTAGGAGACAGCGGATCACCGATCAACGGAAAGAGCTGAAGATGTTGGCTCGGTCATGTGTCCAATCATAGCTGATCACATGTAATTAGGGAAATGCTGGTTATCGGCATTTCTCTCCTCCTGAGCTGTCACGCTGACCGTTTGAGAGAAGAAGAGAGCCGGTAATCGGCTTTGCTCAGAGGGGACATGTACACTGATCATCAGGGCACTGATGATCAGTGTACCCTGATGATCTGTATAGCCCCAGCAGTGCCACCTGTCAGTGTCCATCAATGCCACCTGCCAGTGCTCATCAGTGCCACATCAGTGCCTACCAGTGCACATCAATGCCACATATCAGTGACCATCTGAGCTCCCTTTCAGTGTTACCTATCAGTGCCAGTCAGTGCTGCCAATCAGCGCTGCCTAACAGTGCCCGTCAGTGCCATATTGAGTGCTGCCTATCAGTGCCTCCTCATCAGTGCCGCCTCATTAGCTCACATCAGTGAAGGAAAAAAATCACTTATTTACAAACTTTTATAACAAAAACTAAGAAAAAACGTTTTTTTTTTTCCAAAATTTTCTGTCATTTTTGGTTTGTTTAGAAAAAACTAAAAATCCCAGAGGTGATTAAATACCACCAAAAGAAAGCTCTATCTGTCTCAAAAAAAATTATAAAAATGTCATATGGGTACAGTGTTGCATGACCGCGCAATTGTCATTCAAAATGAGACAGCGCTGAAAGCTGAAAATTGGCCTGGGCAGGAAGGGGGTATATAAGTGCCCGGTAGGCGAGTGGTTAAGGGCTTGAAGCCTTTTGGATACAAATTTAAAAGATGTCTTTAGAGAAAAGAGTGTTTTCAGTCAGATCAACCCCCGTCTGGTAGAGTTGCACTGAGATAAGAGACAGTTGTGGCTTTTTTGTGTGTTTTAGTCCTCATGTACACTGGATGTTTTTACAGCTGCTGTTTTTGGCTTTTAAATAAAGTGTATATGCAGCACACAAATAATGCTCTAATATATTAGTGTTATAGGTAGATGTATACCATAAACATATATCATTGTGCATAGTGAACACATATACTCAAATACACATACAAATATATTCAAATCCTTGTGTCATAAGTAACAAACGCATGTGCCCAAACATGCGTTGAAATTACCCAAAAATAATCATGTCCATAAAAAAAAAAATTAAACATATTAAATGGCAAATTCATCATAAATCACTCCCAGTATCATACATCCGCGTGATGAACTTGATGTATGCTGTGTTTGAAATTCACCATATTAAACAAACAGTTTTTATAGTGAATTGTGCCTTTTTAATACTGCCGTGCTTCATGTGATATTAAAATCCAACCGAAGTGCAATAGTGTTCCTCTTCAGTGTCCACACTCCCCCGACACACTATTGCGCTCACCTTAATGTCTGACCTGTATCCCAGGTCAAACTGGGCTTTTACCTTTTAACTGGGTAGGTATATAGATGTAACTGCTCTTCCACTATCAGGTGTATTACTGCTCTTCCACCGTCAGCTTACTATCTCCTCCAACTCCGCTCCATACATATGAAAAAGATGCTTCTCATAGTGTAGTATTTATAAATAAAAACACCTTTATTAAAATACAAAAATTTCCACTCACATTTAATAGTGTCCAACTGGGACACTGCAGGATAAACTGTGTGTTTGAATGCTGTTTTCTATACCAAGATGGCGGCCTTTGTACTTCCTGTTTTGCGGCTTGACGTAATCAGTGTACCCTACGCGTTACGTCACATATCGTGACTTCATCAAAACGTGATAAATCGTGGCAATCCAGCGTTTTTGGAGTTTTTTTTGACCAAGAAAAATATTTTTTTTTTTGGTTAAAAAAAAAAAAAAAAAAACTCTAAAAAACGCAGCTAAACGCTAATACAAAAACCCCCAAAAAAAGCTGAAAAACTCACATTTTTAACGTGATTTTACACAGCTAACATTACCAGCGTTACGCCCCGTGTGCATGGAGCCTTGACCTTAAATACTGTATGTACTGCACAAAACTTGAGTTTTACTTTAAACCCAAATGACCATTTAATTAGTATAAATGATCTGCACATAGACTTCTCGCCATTGTCTTTCATATGTTTGCCTGTCTCACAGGTAAGGTCCATGGGTCACTTGCTCGTGCAGGGAAAGTGAGAGGACAGACTCCTAAGGTAAGTCTTCAATCATAGATCTCCTCCCCTGCTACTTAGTCATGCAATTACCATTTTTCGTAATTATAAACCTGCAAGCCTTTTTATACAAGAAGTTTTTTGAGCCCATATTTATCTTTACTACTATTAAATGTGACTTTGGGAACAGAGAATGAAAGCTTTACAATGGCATTTGCTGCCTGTCACGGTCCACCCCTTTCCCCCCTTGCCTGCTGTTCCTCTGCTCCCTTTCCCTTTGCAGATTCCTCGCATCCTGCAGCAGCCTACATCAAAGGATGGGAGGAAACGCCCTCTGTGGTGCGGGTAGCACCTCTCCTCGGCAAAACCGCCGAGGAGTCGGGCACCCTGCTGAAAATCCCTGGCGCAGGCCGCCAGGGTGCCTCTGCATGCCCCCCCGGCAGGCACGAGGTTTCCCGCACTGTGCGCCGCCAGAGACAAAGGCTGTGCTTCCTGAAGCGTGGCCAGAGTGAGGGGGACGTGCTTCGTTGCCCCGGCATCCCGACGCTGGGCCGGCCGTTGCCGGGGCAACCAGGAAGCGTCCTGCTCCGGCTTAAGAAGGCCCCGTTGTTGGTCCCCGAGAGAGAGAGAGAGAACAGCTGTGGAGGTCTGAGCTAAGGCCAGACCCCACTGAGCACTCTGCTAATCCCTGGGGCTAGGATTACCTGCTGCTGTTGTGTGTGCCCAGAAACACTCCGCCAGTTACCCCCTGGGTGCCAAGGAGTACCGCTACCTGCTGTGTGTGCCCCAGAGTACTCGGCCTGTTACCTGCTGTGTGCCAAGGAGTACCGTTACCTGCTGCCTGCTGTGTGTGCCCCAGAGTACTCAGCCTGTTACCCGCTGTGTGCCAAGGAGTACCGTTACCTGCTGCCTGCTGTGTGTGCCCCGGAGTACTCAGCCTGTTACCCGCTGTGTGCCAAGGAGTACCGTTACCTGCTGCCTGCACCCCGGAGTACTCGGCCTGTTACCCGGTGTGTGCCAAGGAGTATCATTACCTGCTGCCTGCTGTGTGTGCCCAGGGGGTAAATCTTCCCGAGGGGAAGTGGTTAAGGAGGTAGATGTGGCCAGTTTGGCAGCTGGGAAGAACACAGGGTTGACAGGCATGTAAGTGCTATCAAGGGGGCTGGATGCTGGCAGCTACAGGGGCCCCTGTATTACTGCTTATTATACTGCCTTTTCTATCGCATTTCCACTGCATAATTGTGCATGACTTCTGCTTTGTGCTGCATTTGTTTGTAGGCCAAGTACTGTAATAACTGCATACTGGTTAGCTGGTAAAATGTATTTTATATCTGATAAGGGCTCTTTCGCATGTGTGTTGATTATGAAGAATGAAGCAATGCCTACGAATGCGCCTATAGTGTTTATGTTGTGTTTTCATTGTGTTTATAAAGCATTGAAAAAACTTCAAGAATGCTTCATAAATGCCCATGGAAGTGTTTCTTTTCTAATGGGAAGTACTTAAACCCAGGACCCTTCATTCAATACATATGGTTTCCCACCGTACACACATGAAAGTGAAATTATTTTAGTAAATATAAACTGCTAAATACCTTTTCTCATCCGCAGTTAGAGCAGTCTATTGATGATAATAAAAAAAAAATCATGTTATACTTACCTGCTCTATGTAATGGTTTTGTACAGAACAGCCCCGATCTTCTTTTCAAGTCCCCCACCAGCGCTCCTGGCACCTCCCTCCTGCTGAGTGCCTCCAGAGCAAGCAGCTCGCCATGTGGGCATCCAAGCAGGCTCCCTCCCGAGCCGCTGCTCTGCATGGCCATTCACACACAGAGCCATGGCTCCCCCCCCCTCATTGGTTCACTGACTGAAATTAACAGCAGCGGAAATCAATGGCTTCTGCTGCTGTCTCAGCCAGTGAGAGAGAATCCCCAGACAGCGGAGGCTCTCATACACATTGCTGGATCGCATTGGTGCTCAGGTAAATACTGGGGGGAGCTGCTGTTTAAAAAAAAAAGCAAACATGTCATACTTCCTTGCTGTGTAATGGTTTTGCACACAGGGCAGCCCGAATCCTCCGCTCCTCAGGTTCCCCGCCAGTGCTCTTGGCCCCTCCCTCCTGTCAGGTGCTCCCACAGCAAGCAGCTTGCTATGAGGGCACCAGAACAGGTGCGCTCTCAAGCTGCTGTCTGCGTGTGCCTTTGCACATTAGCTGCAAAAATGTTTAGGCATTATTACCCCTCCCCTCCCATAGTTCTCTGATCCCTCATTAGATTCAGTGCTATGCACCTCTGCAGCTCTTCTCTCCCCTCACATCCTGGTATGCCAGGCTTTTCTAAGGCAATTGGAGCCATTGGCTCCTGCTGCCGTCAATCAAATCCAGTGACAAGGGAGTATTTACAACCACTTTAGGGTAAACAAAATGTCCCGGCATTTGTATTGCCCTCTCATCCCCCTTATAATTAGTCCTTTCTCGATTCAGTGCTGTGCCCATCTAAAAGACGGGCCCTGCATCCAACCTTCTTTTGATCTTCTTCAAGTAGGTTTTGCATTCACATAGACTTGTAGGGAATGAAAATCCTGCTTAAAGCAAACAAAAACCCAAAAAAAAAACATTTCAAGCAAAAGCAACAAAGGGGGTAAAAACCTAAGCTTTTACAAAGTTGCAGCATTTCCTAAGAGCATTGGTAGTTCTTTTTTAGTTTATGGATTGAAATACTCAAATTCAGTAACACCGAACTCCAAAATCAGTGTTTAAGAGCACCAAGTTATGACTTGCTTCCCAACACTGGTGACTTCTCTCTTATTAGGTGGCAAAACAGGAAAAGAAGAAGAAGAAAACTGGCCGAGCCAAGAGACGCATGCAGTACAATCGCAGGTTTGTCAATGTGGTGCCCACGTTTGGCAAGAAGAAAGGCCCGAATGCCAATTCCTAAACCAGATTTACTTTCCGGGTCCCTGGCACAGCATTGCCAGATAAAATGATTTCTTATTGACTTCAATGTAATTTTTTGATTTGTAATTCTATCAGATTATCTAATAAAGCCGTCTTTATTTTCAGAGCAGGAAAGTACATCCTTAATTACTGATGCATGAAAGTGTACATAGATAAGTCTTTATGAGAATATATATATACGGTAGAAGAATCATTCTACCCTCAGAAGTGTCTATAACCACTCTATTGGCTTTTTGTTGCAAATACAGAATCTGCATAGTTTTTTAGGAGGACTTAAACTGTGCCCAATGGATCTTTTCCTTATTACTTATGCAGGCCATAGATGGGGAGAAAACCGGCCGATTTTTTGTTAAAAAAACGAAAAATCGGTCGTTCAAGCGGCCGACCTTACCAGGAACGGTAAAAAAAAACAAAAAAAAAAAAAAAAACACACGGCCAATTTTCAGCCAGCAAAAAGTGTCCCTGCAGAGAGCTCCGCTATTTCTTTGACAGTTCCATGACATTTATAGCGGTTGCAACATTGTATCTATTTGTATCCATTTCGGATACAGATGGTTTTATTCGGAAACAAATAGATACATTGTTGCAACCGCTATAAATGTCAAGGAACCGTCAAAAAAATAACTGAGCTCTCTGCAGGGACACTTTTTGCCGGACTGGAATTCTTCTTCTTCATCCTCCTCCTCCCCCTCTTCCTCCTCCTCTTCTTCTTTTTGTCTTCCTCTTGCAGGTCACTGCTCATGCGCAGATTTTTTATTGGTAAAAAGATCGGCCGATTTGCCCATAATTGCCGCGAAAATCGGCCGATCGGCAAAATCGGCCGATCTTTTTCCAACTTTACCAATAAAAAAAAATCTGCCAAAATACCGAAAAACGGCCGAACAATTAGCCCACGAACGATCAGAAAATTATCCGATTTTATTTTCGGCCGAAAAATCGGCCGATTTTCGACCCATCTATGGCCTGCATTAGTCATTCCTTGTTCCTCTGTGAAAGTGGCCATCTTGGTCAGGAGACAGGACTTCAGGACAATCCAAGCCAAACCAAAAGGGCAGCTCCAATATTTCTGTTTTCAAAGACTCCTTTATAGCAGATCTGCTCCTGCTTTTTTTGTTTAGATGCCCCTTGTACATATTTATTATCCGAGTTAATTGTGCAGTGTTCTAAATCGTTTTCTTTTCGCATCAGCGGTGGTGGGTACTCTTCTTCCTTGCTAAGGTCATGGCACATTCAGGGCTCATAGGAAATGGGCTGCACAGGATGGGCCTTTATTCATCTTGAAACAACTGATGATGAATGTCTGGAGCAGTAAGACTTTGGGGGACAGTGCTTGAGGCAAGGTTTTTTTTTTTTTTTCTTCATTTTCCCACTTGCTTAACTACTTAATTTGTATTTTTCCAAACTGGAATTCTGCTTTAAACAGTTCAGCTTTTTGAGAGAAAAAAAAAAACGAATAGGTGAACTAAAACCCTACACCCTCAACTCCCTTCCTGCCTCCTCATCCATATGATAGTACTCACCAATCAGAAACTCTGAGTCATCCTGGAAGCCCAACAGAATGATGAGGGAGGATTTTCAATCCCCAGGAGCACTAGACCAGCTTGCCTGGACATTGATAGCACATCTACCCATGGAGGCAAGTACAGCTGAGAATGGGGGTGTAGGGTGTTAGTTCACTTTCTCTGAAAAAAAAAAAAAAAATGAGTAGGTTAACTAATTAAACATTAAAGTGGCTGTAAACCTCAGAGATGAAATGAACAAAGCAAATCCTTCTATAGTGTGTGCACCAATCCAGAGCACTAACTAGCATCTCTTTCTGCTGCCTTGCTCCTCCTGCCATCAGCATGAGTCACTTCTGACAGGTTTTCAGGACACCAAGAGAAAAAAAAAATGATGGGAAGGCAGCTCGAGGACACAGCCTATGCCTCAGCTCTGTTCCTGTCTGTTGTGGAGGGAAGCAACACATTCCCCCTTCTCAACCAGCTCTCCTCCCCTTTTTCTGACAGCTCAGACAAGCTTTTTTACATTCTGAACTTTGAACTGATGTAGAGAAAAAGTACTACAGTGAAACAGGTACAACTTATATAGGAGGATTTTTTTTTTTTTTAATCTCTGTGGATCACCTGAGGCCAGGCACTTCAGTAAGTATTCAACCACTTTAACCATTGGCTATGTTTACACCTGGCACTTCTGTATCACTGCTCTGAAACACAAAGACTACTCACTTCCACTTAAAGGGATTGTACTTATACAAATGTTTTCATTGTTTTTAACAAGGTAATAGTGTAGTTATACTGTATGTCCTTGTCTGCCCCTAACTTTTTTAATGATAAGCTGACATGTGGTTGCAGTTTGCAGCAGCATGGCTCATCTATTCCCCTATGTTCATGTATTCATACACCTATCTTGTCCATGCTCACAAAAGTGACAAGACCGCTTCCTGTTCTGAATCACACAGCATCCAATGCATGCATTGCCATCCACTCTGTGTTACAACCTGTGTCTGTATCACATCTGATTACGCTGTAGCTCTCACCTGTACCAGCAGTAAACTGGGAGACTCCGGGACTGTCAGGTCTCACACTACATCCAACATTCATGCAATAACCTGTTCAGTGTCATGCAGCATGCCTCATGTTTGACCGCAGACAGAAACTTCTAACAAAGAAATGTCAATATATATATATATATATATATATATATATATATATATATATATATATATATACTATAAGCTGTGTGTACAGGCCATCAAATGACACCATGAAGCTACATGATCCATGTACATCCTATGCAGGTGAAAAACACAAGATACGGGTAGGAGGACATATAGAATGCCTTGAAGGTGTGTTGGCATTATAAAACCTAAAGGTAAGTGGGAGCTCACAGCCTTGAAAAATTACAGCTAGCTAAAATGTATTCTGAACCGAGATAACAGAAGGTTGTAGCCGTGAATTAGCCACTTTACATTAAGGTTGACAATCTTTGTGAAATGGGTGAATGGTGCTGCTTAAAGTGGAATTACACCAAAAAAGGGAAGTTCTGCTTCAGATTCCCCCCCCCCCATATTTGGCATTTTTTTGGGGGGGGGGGGGACAGAACTTTGTAGCAAAAACGCACCTTTGTGTTTAAAAAGTCTGACCCTTTCCAAAAATGCAGCTGCTCAAAATAGCACAGATGTGCACGTTCCATAGGAAACCATGTCCAATGGACTTGAGCCTTTTTGCAGAAAGGCACTAATGTGCGCCCCAGCTTCTCTTTATAAAGGACAGGGACCAGCTCCTGAGCTGCAGCACTTAGCACCCACCTCCCAATTCACTGGTGAGGGCACCTAACAGCATTACGGGCCAATACCTGGGTGGAGCTGGGTAAGAATAGAATAAGAGGTCTCCCTGGTATGACCGCATGTAGGAAGGTACCTTTTACTGCCTGATTTTATCAGTTGTCTGTTCAGTACTTTTAGATTTCTATTAATACTCACTGCCAATTGTTCACATTACTGACACCACGTACATTTTAAAAATATTAACCCAATCACTTAAGTCGCATACGTTTTAGGTTCACACAGACGCAGGTTGCATTTGAGCAGTTTTTGCATTGCGTTTTTTTTTCTTTTTGTATTTTTCTTGTTGCTAGGCAGATTTAAAACCCATCAAAAATGTAATACATGCTTTTCTGCAGAGTTTTTATTGAAGTCTATAGAACCAAAAACGTAACTTTTTGCATTAAAAAAATTTCCTGACCCTTTCCAAAAAACGCACAGGTGTGAACATGTCCCATAGGAAATCATGTTAAATGGACTGTACCGTCTTTCTGCAAAAACGCTGCAGAAAACACTTAGGTGTTGGTTGGATTTTCTGCACCAGGAGTTACTTCACTTTATTGGCACGTGTGTTGGAGTTGAAGTAGTGGTGTTACCCACTCATTGGACTTTTTTGAGCACAGATCAGACTTTGACAGTTTGATTCAATCAGCGTGTTACTTGCACGTGTTCAGGGGCGGACTGACCATTTGGAAACTCGGGCACTGCCCGAGGGCCCGGGGTCAGTAGGGGGCCCCACAAGATGCCCCTGGTACCTTTTTCATAAGCTTTTTTTTTTTTTAATTTGGGCAAGGACACAGGGGCCCCTTGATCCCCTATTGCTCGGGGGCCCCATGAGTTGTCAGTCCGCCCCTGCACGTGTTATCACATATGTTTCATCTACATATTATTTTTTTATATTTTTGTATTTATATTGCACTTATGTGATGTTCTTATATTAGAGATCCATTTTTTGGCACATTATTCTATATTTGAATTGGCAATACTTAGGTACTAGTGTATGGTTGGTTCTCATCTCAATACAATAGTCCAATGCACATTTTTTGTGTTATATTTATAGGGGTATTGTAGTATCACTGTGATCACTTGATTATTATTCACTTTCACAGCAGATTTATTTTATGTACTGTATTCACGTGTCACATTGCATGATTTTATATTTATTCATTTATTATAGAGGTCATTTTCGTATGGCACTTTAGGTTATCAATAATTCACTTGTTTGTTTTTTGAGATTTATGAGTAGCGTCACATTCTTTTAGATATTGATTTAGTTCAGATCATGGGTATATGATTTAATGTTGGCATCTTCTCCTTTTTAGTTTTTTATATTTGAGTAGTAGAGCAGGAGGTTCACACCATCATACTCAGGTCAATGTGTATGTAATCTGAGTATTTTAAAAATATGGTTTTCATGAAATAACTGCTGCCCCTGTCTTTGTTCAGGCACTGTCTGATTTAGGGTAACACTTCACCCATGTCTCAATTGTTTTCCTGCATGGTCATCTTGTCCCATGAACTTCTGTTGCAGACAAGTGACCCTTTCAACACACATGTAGGTAGGGCCTGCTTTTGTCATCATCCAAAAAAACCCACCGTGAGAAATTCCAGGCAGTCAAGTTCACCAAGAAAACAGAAGGGGAAAAAAAAAAAAAAAA